TTTTCCAAATAAGCCTAGGTAGGGTAGGAGCACCTGGGTGGCTGGAATGATTACCTCCTGCAGAAATAAAAGAAAAAAAAATAAAGAAACTTTGCCCACCGCGGTGTTCCTTCCCCACGGAAGCCCTCATTTGAAAACTGGCATGTCCGTGATATAACACGACATAACGCGTTTCATTGACGTCATTTCTTAATATACTGACCTTCGGATGGGTGGCCCGCTCCAACTACATTTTCACCGTATCCTACATTGAGTTACAAATCTTGCTGGGTAGCGGTCGTAAACTAATAGCATGAATTGAACAAAGTTCTCATCTGCTTATCTTACCAGTGCCTTCCTACTTCCTTGATACAGACAAATACACACACAAACGCACACAAATACAAACACACACTTAAACGCAGACTCATAAACACACAGAGACAAAAACACAAACACACATAAATACACACAACAATCTAGGGAATAAAGTCTGATACTCGCTTGTCGAGATTTTCGTTCGTGTTGAGAATGAGAAGTGGAATGGGAGTCCCTCCTCCGTTGAGCACACTGTCGTACAGGCTCAGCACTGGGAATAATGCTTGGCAGAGTTTTTTTCGTGTCATGAGTAAATGAGGGATTTCAAAATTTGGAAATTTTGGTAGATCGTTGCGTTCGAATTAAATGATTTTCAGGATAAAAAGACATCGTAACCAGGTACAATAAAGTTGAATCGAGGACGAAACCGAGAAACAGCTATTTATGATATAAGTAATAAACGTTCGAATACATAACTCCACAGCTCTTATATCGCGTATACGCAGATCTATGCAGTTTTTGACATTTCCATAAAAAGGAGTGATTCGTGATGTGGAAAAATTTTGTAAAGCTTTTCACTGTAACTCGTCCAGTAGACGCAGAAGAGTGATATTTCTAGAAAGTGCATGCGAGCTGAGAAGTATCTTTGAAGAGCGTAAGTCCGGTGAGCACCTGGTAAGGACTGCGCAATTCTGTGGAACTTCATACGATTTCCAAGAAGAGTAGTATTAAGCGGACAGGGACCACAGAGAAAGAGAAAGTATTTTTTTAAGCCCACCCTCCCGACTCTGTGGTGCTTCGTGCTTGGACATAAACCCGCAAACTAGAAGTTCATGAGAGCAGGGAGCATACGACCAGCGCCATCCAACGTGGTGTGGAAATGATTATGCTCGGAATTGCACGTTAAACACAAGTGCAGAGGATATTTTAGAGTTTCGAGTTACGTCAACGAAAAAGATCAGGGATGTCGTTGCCTGACCTAAGGAATGGAAGAGCGGGCTGGCGGATACATCCTTCGATGTTGTGATAACCATTAGATCACATGCTGAATGGATCCATCGGGACATTAAACGAATATTACTACGGCAGCCAGTACGATATTCACTCATATTCACTAAAGCACTGAAGTAGAAAAGCTAAGCCTTTTGGTCATCAAGAGTGAACGTTCCACGGGACTACTAGGCTGGCAACAGGGACGAGTAGAAACGTTGCCGGTCCCACTAGATATCAATAAACGGTACAACAGTTGGTAAAAGTGACCACCATCTTCCAAGAAAATCGCCTGTAGCGAGGCCACTCATTAGGCTTATGTGGTTATAGAAGTTTCTATTCCTACAAAAAGGAAAAGTGAAGTAGAAATGTGATATATGGAGTGGAAATTACAAGAGGACCCGCTGAAGAGTGATACTCAATCAGCCCAACAATAGTAAAAGATATATTCCAGCACTGGTGAGTAAACCAGCATCACTTGAAACTCCATAATTCCAAGACATATATTGTAGAACATTACGTAATGCTATATTCAAATTTAATTAGCGACTATGCATCATCCGAGCGAATCACATCTATCCATAGTGAGGATCACAGAAAGAAACAGACTCAGAAAGGCAAAATAACAACGTTACAGGAGGTCTGAAATGTTATTACGCATTCACGACTTAACAAAGGAAATATCACAAGTCACTTTAGGCAATGAAAGAACGTAGGGTTGAAAAAGGTCAGATCAGATCCGCTTTGATTTGTAATTCTTGATCGATGCCTAGGTAACAGTCGGACATAATGAAGAGGCTCATATAGCACCTCCCACTGAAAAAAAAAATTCACGAGCGCGTAGTAATACAAAAAAGTAATGGAAGTACCTTTTGTCTGGAGTGACGAAGTCCATCCGAACACTACGGCCATTCTGAATTGCGGTCAAGTGATGCAACGATATCATCCGGTCATTATCCTTTTCCCCCAAAACGATAATCCAACCAGCTGTTTTCTCTTTGGACCATTGCGTCAGGTATGCATCAGTGTCGAACTAAAAAGATCGCAAAAATGATGTCAAGCCAACAGCAAAGGAAAAACGCAGCAACATTCAAATGTTAGTGGAATCGTTCAAAGTTATAGAGAAAAGTTGAAGAACATTCCGGTGAAGGAGGCGAAATGGTGTCTTCCTGAAGGTAAGCCAAAGTGTTTAATAGGTGTTAAGCGATTTCCGCAGAGCCGAAAGTTCAGAAAATTCAACGCGATCCGGATGCAAGGATCAGCGCCACAGCCAATGGTTACCTCGCATAGATAACGTCAGCTAAGGTAGTGTCCTGTTTTGAAATTCGTATTGCTCCTATGACTTAACATTTTTTGAAATTATGGCTTAACTAGCACGGAGTCATGGGAGAAAAATAAGGAGTCATATGAAGTACGTGTAAGTGTAGTCAACAATCGGCAACTGTTAAGTGCCTAGCTCTCAAGAGAAACGACAAAATTTGGTATGATTTTACTCACACGACCAGGTCCAAGCATATTTACTTGGAAATGCAGCTTATAACGCGTATTGCGCTCCAACTGCAGCCATTCGTCATCGATGCAAACTTCCTCCGCATTTCTTGATAAACGAAGATAACTCACAGACAGAATGGGCCATCTGCATAGGGCTCGAACTACCTGCAAGGATTCGATAAAAAGTTCAAAAGGACTTATAATTAGAATGTGGTCAATGTGTCAAGTGCTCCTCCATTCTGGAAATATGCGCAGATACTTTTACCCCAATATATTCCTTATACACTTTTTTTTTACACCAACGAAGCGAATATGAGGGCGGACTTTAATATTGATATTACCTACCTATTACCTATTGATAGTACCTTTTAGCAGTGAAGTTGTTCAACGTTCAAAACAAAGATAAAGATAGGAATTAAACTTGAAAATTTCAATAAACACACCTCTTTTATCTCCGTCTCTTGTAACGTTGTTTTCTCAAAGAGTACATTCGCTGCCCGTTTCTCGACTTCATCTGTTCCCTGCGCGTTTTCAATGTCAAATTGATGTTGCAACATTGGAATCGTGGATCGCTCCCTTCAAACAAACGGTGCAAAATAGCGTTACATGGAATTCGAAAGGCAATGTCCATCACTAATGAAGAAGCTGTGGGAGTACCGGCAACACTTTCTATCACAGTGACTGGGTTGGTGTAAATGATAAAGTGAAAAGCCTGCCTCCGAGTAGCTGGAAGGTGAGTAAGGGAAAGCCCGATGTCAACTCCAGTAAACAAAGCTTCATTGTGAATTCCACCATAAAATACCTAAATATCGGAACCCATGTCCTAACCTAGCAAGCTATTCGAGTGTACCTAGATAAGGGCAGTACCACGAACTGGCCTCTATCCCCTCAAGTTGAAGTAGCTCCTAGTACGGTAGTGTTGGGTAAATCTGCTCGGTGGAAGATGCCGAAATCTCACTGTCCCAAGAGACTGCTGAAGCACAGAGAACCAAAAAGCACGAGCGCTTGAACCGAAAGCGTACACATCACTTTCGGACGTCAGAGATTGGAATATGCAGCCCAACTCCGACCCTAATCACTACCATCACATGATCACAAACATCAAACGCGTTATCGTCGGCGACTTCAACGCCATGGCCCAAGAGGATAGCTGAAGGGTTCGCATCGGAACTAACGAAACAGAACGAGGTAAGCACGGTATCTCAGCAAGACAACATCAGATTGTGAATATATGAAAAGGAAAAGATCCGCACTCTTCAAGTTCAGAAGAAACAAAACCAGAAGATAATTGGAAGATTCCGCAATAGACAACATCGGCGGTAGGAACACTAGAATTCCTTCGAAAATCCTTAAGACACCAGCGTGAGATCGCCCAAGCACCAGGCAATTACCAACGTATGTACAAACATGCGGAGCTTCTAGAAAGGATGAAAAAAAAGACCTAAAAGAAGTGGCAGCAATTACGTTGAAAGTGGCAGAGAGGTACAGAGCATTTGCAAAAACTGCTGAATCTGCGCCCGTTTAGACCGAGTTTATATTTATTAGTTCAGCAAGGAGGACAATATAGAGGGTGATTTACGAATTCTACTGTGACCTTACGATCAGCCATGGCTACCTGCCTACCACCATCTGATGTATAATAGATTGAATAATCCGGCGCTTCAATTCTCTATTTCGAGACTGCACAACTCTTCACACTCCATTTCAAAGGTTCGCACATAACGATCCCCCAATATCATACCACGAATCCTGAAAAATCTTAATAGCTACCTCCAAAGCTCTGACTCGGCCACGGCTACCAGTTGGAATGCTATGTAGCCATTTCGCAAAAAAAAAACAAAAAAAACGAAATACTGTATAAGAAGAGCGTGGACGATATTACAGTGCGTTTCTTAAGTAGAAGATCGCACTCGAATTTGGTTTTTACAAGAACAAGAACAAGAAGAGACAGCCGAGCACATATCTTTCTGGTACCACCATAAGATTCATCACCTTCTATAACTCCCATACACCTGCTTTAATTTGCTCAATTTTTACTTAACATTTGTATAGACTATTTTTGATTTGTTTGCCGTTTCATAAGAATAGGATCACCCCCGACAGCACGAAAGCTTTGCAATGAATTCGCACTTGGAGGGATCTGAACAGTGGAGAATGTGTTGCAAATATGTTTAAATGCAATATGCACTATCCTAGGCGGAGGTCATGTTTCTTTAGGAGAAAAAGCACAAAATCGAAATCTTCGTGATACATGGTTCAGTGCGAGGGCAATCAGGAGGAGAATTGTGGGATCCTTCAGCTCCATCCAAAGATATTCTAGAGAGCCCCCACGAGGTCAGGATCATGCGCAAGCTAACCGCGAACGACGAGGGAAGAATGCTAAGAACTATTTCGGACAAAACCTTGTCGTTGAACAAAGTTCGATCGAGTTGGGTCTCTCGGTGTCCAAAACTACTGAATTGAGAGCAGTGAAAAACTGCAGCAGTACTGTTAGGGCAGCAATGAAGAGGGCCCCGAGGCTTACCGTCCACCCACAGGAAGGCACCACTTGAATTTGCGAAGTTGAGCTTGGGATGAAAGTCAGCCTGTATTACCAAATGAGAACAGCGTCTGCGAGGGTACGGATACTGCTGAGAGACCACTGAAACATCCAGTAAGGAATTAAAGGCACTGTTAACGACTAAATGGTTTCGAAGATATGCACATGGTTAGAATTCTGAGCCCCCTCTGATAACATTTGTGCAGGAATTAGGTCGGAAAACGGCTGGATAGGGCACAATAAGGCCAGGAACAGTGGGGGACGCGATGCCTCCGCCCCTCGCTAGGCTGACTACGTGTTCAAATTGTCATTCACCACGTTCGCACTGGAGCGAAGCTGGTGAAAAATCGATACGCAGATTGGCAAATAGCCAGGAATGATCAGCTGGTCGACCGCCTCGTACANTAGTATTCAACTTTTATTTCTATTTTATGTTTGTATTTCTATTGTTTTTTTTTTGTTATGAATTTTTTACGGTAGCATTCTTTAACTATTCTCGTAAATTCATTGAAGATTTTAACATATTTTGTGTAGATTATTGCATGCAAATGTTTTTTTATTTAAGAAACTCCGTTAAATTCGATGTGTTGTCTGTATTGCAGACACTGCGTCGCCTTCGTGCATTCTCGCTCGAACACTCCCTAACCGCCGTTTTCCAATGTGAAAGATGTCCAACCCCACTTTCTAGCACTTTTTTTGTTCCTTTGTAATACTTTTTGTTGCTCGTTTTTTTGCGCTTTTTCGTTGTTATCGCTTTATTCTGAAGTAGTTCTACCTATTACCGTCAAAAAAAGGGTACCCTTACTTTTTTGTTAACAGTGCCTTTAAGGAGGCGAGGAGTTCGAGGCTCAAGGCAACAGACCACGAGAAACAAATCGCTGTCTTCTGCACATCAACCCAATTCTCTATTGTTTTGGAAAAAAACTGCTCCACGCACTACTTGGCACCTGAATGCGCTGTTGCGGTAAGTATCATAAGAGTGTAGAGCATAACTGTACGTATAGGTAGAATAACCGCCCTGTAAGCTACGCGAAGGCGACAAGGTAGATCTGTGCAAAATACAACGCATTCGACCGACAGATCTCCGTTCAAGAATATAAACTCGAGGATTCAATAAGTGATCAGATAGACATGATAAAGTATTACCCAATTCGTTCCGCATCGTAGATATTCAGATGCGGCAAACACAACAGAGGATGATCATCGTACCACCGTCCCGAGTGACACATCTGTTGCAAAGTTATGATTCGTAAAGCAGTTGACAACCAACCATTCAACTGACATATATCACTCATAGCCTGAAGCAATACAGACGATTAGTACAATTCTAAGAGGAACCTCGAGCTCAATTTGACATCAAGTAGGTTACGCAGGTTAATGAGCGCATCACAACAGAAAAGGTTCCAAAGCTCTCCAAAACCTATGGATTTTTTGAGTTTGGCCTCTCAAACATTTCACTCATAAGCTGTGGTAGCACCTATTTATAACAAGAAATTCAGACTACTGTGATGACACTTCGTTTAAGTGACCCATTTTCACCAGTGCTTATTAATTTTCGATGTCTGGGCTTTTGGCTGTTCCTTGCACCGTGCATTCTGCCCTCTCCCTCAACCAGTGTTCACAGGGGCTCTTTTTATCTTGCCCCAATATACACCCATACCAATCTTGACNCGACCTTTCCAGTTGCTTATCTGGAAAAATCGAGTACTTGATGCTCAGACAGATGCGAGCACTTCAAACATAATAAAGATAACCAGGTTGCAAGCGAAAAATTATTAACGCTGGAAGGAAAAAAGACCTGAAGTATGCGAACGCATTGGTCGAGGACACTTCTCTGATCTGTACGGTAATCCGTTGGAACATCTGTACGGGAAAAGTGAGCCTGTAAGAGCAAAGAAAATATGAACAGAAAGGAAACGTTGGATGCGAATAAGTAACACTGCATCTGAACACCGGCCACGGGCCCTTTGGATGCTTCAAAGTTTGCCCACTTATCTTTTTTTTACTGGCCAACCGAGTTCTTCGTCTTCATATTGATCAAGAACTCGCGCGTTATGTAATTGTGTGCAAAACTATCCACCAACCACCACTGCAATCTTCACTCTATCAACTCTATCTCCTTCATCATCCCAGCAAACATACTTTTTTTGTGGAATAATGAAGCCATAGCATTACTGCACTTATTATTAGGTGTGCGCATTAATTTCCGCAGCAGAATTCCAGAGGCCTTTGCGAGAACCAAATTAGGGGTTTACCGGTGAACCTATCATATTCTGTAAGGTAGGGTATTGCCTACCTAGTTAAGGGCGGACAAAATCGTGTTGCTCTCAGAGTGATTGGTCATGGAATGTGATGAGCTGTTTTTCCGGCCGTTTTTCCGGGGGGCCCTTCTCCTGCTATTTGATTTCAAGAAAACTGGCATTGAAACCCACCGGATGCTTCTATGGAGGACAAGCTTCATCTGAACTAACCTGCTGAGATGGTTTCTCTTCACTCGTGAGCTTGCAACGAAAGCGGAATGGCCAATGCCAAAAGTAATGCTGTGCAATTGATGGCGGGATCAAAAGGGTGTTGTGTACTATGAGCTGCTGAGCCCGAACGAAATTGTTACTACTGACCGCTACGAACACCACCTTGACAGTTTGTAGGATGCTCTCACCAAAAAGCTCGCCTTAATCGCAAGAAAATATAATGAGGTGCCGTTCCACCACGAACATGCCAGACCCCATGTTGCGAAGAATGTCCTTGAAAAAAATGCAGTTGTTGGATGGGATCAGCTTGTTCAGCCCGCATTCTCTCCAGATCATGCTCTATCTGACTACCACCTATTCCGGTCAATGCAAGCCAGTTTGGCAGATATATGCTTCCGGAATGCCGAAGAAGTGCGAAAATGGGTGGATAGCTGGATTGCCTCAAAAGATGAAGACTTTTTTGAACCCGGAGTCAACAAGATACCAGAAAAATGGCAAAAGTTGTAGCTAGCGATGGGCAATACATTGGTTACTGTTTAATTTTGTAATAAATATATTTTTGCACGCAAAAAACGGCGGAAATTAATGCGCACACCAAACACACATTATCCGCTCGAACCTGCCCTTATGCAGTTCAACAATTCCGTAACCTTTTGCACAGATACACTCTAGGTCAGTTTAAACTTCATTTGAAGTTCCATCGAGTTGCTAAGCAGATACGATTTGAATTAAAGAGTTCAGCGTTGCAGTAGGCAAGAAACGAGGTGAGTGCCGAGAACCGCCGGCGCCGAGAACCGCCGGCGCGGTCATCACGTTTCTCAAGTTTCTTTCCGCCTCTAAAAATGAGTGCAGACCGTTTGGGTAACAGATGACTCAATTTTATTCCTTCCCCGGCAAACATTTGTATTAAAAACCTTTTGTGCTCATGTCATCTTTTTAAATGACTCCAACATTGTGGATAAAATCTGAACACCCCGTACGTTTGCCACCAGTGATGTGACAAGATCATAGATAGGGTGCTAGTAAGTGATACCATTAATAAGGCATTGGCAATGGGTGTTCAAAGCGTGAAGACAACAATGCGTGAGCTATTCATTCGTTTAGCCCAGACGATGAGTGAAGAAAAGCAATAATGAATGGTTTGCGCTGATAGATTGGTAAAGAAGCAAGCGTCACAAAGANCTCTTTCCGTTACTGCAGCGCTGGCGCTGGTGAATGATAACAGTGATAATAGTTAGCCTGACGTGTGAAAGAACTTATTACTTCGATGCACAAACCGCTAGTGGTTCAGGGGTAGTCAGGTGCTATCCCTGACCCTCTAGCGGTTATCCGATATCGCTAGTAGCAAAGCCTGACCGAGAGCGCACCATTTCAGTTGAGTTTGTAGACATAATGAGTATGAAAATGAATACAAAAACGCCAAATGCCCTCCAGTCGGGTATTGCAGTTATCATTTTGCAAAAATATCAGCCGGCTGCAATTGGGCCAATTCTGAGTGGAGCGTAAGACGTTAACGATTAACGCGTGATTTTTGCTCGAAATGCAACGATTGCAATGTTCAAGCGCAAGGTTAGTACGATGATGCACTGGCTGCGAGGATCCGACCAGTTATCGAAAATAGTTTTCCGAATAACACCGATATTTTAAGAATTAGTAGCTGATGAGTGCTGATAAATCCTACGCCGACTGTCCAGAATAAGGATAAAAGGATAAAGTTTTTTGGCGTTAATCAATCCCGTCAGGGGATGCGCCCCCGCACTCGACTTCCATTCAGAATCGTAGTGGCGTAATGAGTGCGTATGTGGCCTATACAATGACTTGCGGTGGCCAGCCGATGTACAAGTCAGTGCTTTTATCCTCCCAGACGAGTATGGTACCAATTCACCGACCCCGGAGGGATGGAAGGCTTGGTTGGCCTAGGCGGGCATCGATCCGGGATTCGAACCCCTGACCGTGCGTGTGATATAGTGCGCCACTTGCCACTACACCACCTCCGCCCTACTGTCCAGAATGATGTCTGTAATTAAGCTGTCGCAAGACCCACTTGGAACAGAAGATGCGCTTTCGTGAAGGACGAATCCATGACACTTGTGGCGAATCTTATTCTCAGTTTGCGTTGCAATTGGCTAAAGAGGAAAAAATTATTGATGTGGTAGGAAGGTTTCTAATACATCGAAAACTTACGTGTTCACGACGTCTTCATTGTGCCGAACGGGTACTTCGCCATATTCGGGGACGTGCTGAATGGACCAAATTGGTAACCAAAAGCTTTATGCTAAATATCTGAGCAGAGAAAGACCAAAAACAACAGCAAAATATATTACGGATAGCGTTTTGAGTAAATCTTCTACAGTGTCGTCGGGGCCGAGCTCGTCTAAGAGAAACTTCATAGTTTCATGTCGAAGGTAATAAATGCTAGCCATACGACCATACGGCGAAGATCGCAGAGTTGCTGTCTCCTGAAAGGCAGAAATAGTGGAATTTAGGAGAAGCCCCGAGTAAAATGAAAAGCACTTCTTCTATGATGATGCATTTCGATTCCAGTAGGTCAGCAACGCACTGGTCGACTACTCCAACCAAGAACGCAATCAGGGACTTTTCGGATAGATCCTCGAGACCATAGTAGCTGCAAGAAAAAATTGAAATCCCTATTAAATAAGTAGTGATACGATCAGATCGTAAAATTATAGCCGATCCTATTAATGACAAGTGCGAGAGTACGGGATCCACTACAATACCCATCCTAATTGTTTCTGCTTGAACAATGCAACAATCTTTGTACATTAAACGCGAACGAATTCCATATCCATAGATTTACTCTAAGAGCTTTGCGTGAATCCTTCCAGTGAGAGACGTACCTTGCTTTCTTTTAAACATCATGAATCTCACTTGAGACACCACGAAAATGTATGCTCTTTGTAAAATCATGCCTTTAACGGTTTTTGAACGATGGAATTGCAATTCCTTTCGGTCAAAGACTTTTGCAAGATAAAGAAGCCTCTTTCTTGTTAGGACAGGTATTTCATATGCTACTATATATATAATTCGCCGAGTGTCTCTGTTGCTTTCATGTATGTATGTGTAAATTTATAAGTGTGCGCGAGCGTGTCGGTGTGTATTTGACCGTAGATTAATCTCATTAGCACTTCCGTGGATCTGGAGCGTTCAGATATGGTAGGAGTACAGGCAGCAGTAGGTACCACTTATGAAAGGTGGCTGGACAAGACTAGGCCGCAGGGAGTGAGTCGTGCACGAAAATGGTCACTTTGAACCCGGAGCATTTGAATTGAAGCAGCAAATTGAAGCATCGGCACATGAATAACAAATGCACTGCACTGTACGTCACGTGTCAAATTTCGTGCTCGAAAAATTAGCACTTGTTATAAAAAAGGAGTATGTACCACTCACTAGGACTAGGGATTGACTCATATGTGCTCTTTCTGGTTCGATGAATCGCTATCATTCGAATTGGTAAATGGACAAATTCATCCATTTCAAAAACAATTTTGCATGAAATGATCTTTACAGCCTGAAGAAAGAGACAATCTTTTTTCGTTGAGTTCGGAATAGGATAGCTATACCACAACTCATTGAATGCCTTCAATGTAAGCCACTGCTTCTGGTATAATTATGGTCAGCATCTTTTTTAACGACGTGTTCTCAGAATATTCAATTGAAGACTAATTTCTGAGCTCCGCAACGGGCATTTTAACAACACATTATTCGGCTTACGTCTCAGTGCTTCCGGTTCTTCGGCTTAAAAAGACAAAATCCATCATGAAACTATTCGACGAAGCACTATTTTACCCCAAAGAGGAAGCTCCAAAAGGGTTAAACACTGTTAGGCTGCTTTCATACGCCGGGTGGCCGGAGTGCCGGCGCACCGGCGTAAAACGAATTGGTTCGTATGTATGGAACCTACGGTCAGAACAAGTCAGAACTGTGAAATAAAATGCAACAGACGTAGATTTCTTACATACGAAACATACGAACTAATTCGTCAGTGCGCCGTCCGGCCGGCGGGCTATGAAAGCAGCCTTACCAAGCCAGTAGTTGATGCTCCCGCTAACCTTCAAGATATTCGTTCTGTACTGTCCACCGATCACTCCAAAGACACGAGGAATACGGTTTAAAGAGGCTGAGATTAGGGGCAATTTGCTTCAGAGGCCTCCGAAGGGCTGATCAAGTGGCTCAAGCCTTCTCAGGAGCCACTAAAGGCCGAGCGCGTCGCTGGCTCCTTCCATTCACCTCTTATGGATAACTGTATAATGTTCCTGACCCTGCCCGGCCGAGAAGACCTCTCGAAGGCCCGTCTGTGTAGGTGAAAAGCCGCATAGTACGCCAACTCTGTGGCGTGACCGCCACACATCCTTTCCTTTTAGGAACTTCAGGGGTCTCAACCGTGATCCAGAAAATCTCTGAGTTACGCCGCAAGTTGCATCCATATCACACAATTTCACTTGATAATATTGTGACCCACTCTACTATACACACGTTCCCATGACATCGTACCCTATGATCTCAAAAGGGGAAGCTAAACTCGATGCTTGCATGCATTCAGGTGGTAGACTCCTCCTCCAAAGGCACGATATCAAGTATACAGCACCGGATGCCATGAAGTCTCCCTGAATACCAAATGGGCATATGACACTCAGCGGTCATACGGGCTATTTTTACTAGCGATTGTGCAAGGCTCAAGGTGGGAATACCTACAACCACACATGTCCTGAAGGCCTGCCTATCTCACACATGATCGTATGACCTCGCTTATTTTGCCTGATATAAATCGGACACAGAGTAAAACTTCTGCTTCCACATTCATGAAAGATTCTGTGCCACCATGCTTCATCTGGATCGGAATGGGAACCCTCATCCGTAGGCATTCGCTTGTGCTATGCGGTGCACCTGTTGTACCCACTGTTTTCTCGTCGTCTCCTGAGGAAACTGTTAAGAAGCGGTGTAACATATTTCTTGCGACGGTAGTGTTGAATAAATGGGCGAAGCGCAAGTGAACTAGTATGTTTTCCGTGGTAACTTGCGATCCCACATAGTCCTGGAGGTACCGGAAGTTATATGAATACGGACGTTGAGAAGAGCGAGCCAATCGTCTGCCGATTATTTCCGCACCACATCTTGCGATTGCTGGCTGACCAATTCGAAACGGGCGACCATCTCCTTCTGGGTGGGCAAACAATCAAACAGTCGTCTAGGCAACGACAGTACAAAATGGTTCTACACTTTAAAACAATATAGCTCAATTTTCGACAGGAATGCCACTGCGGGTACATTGGAGCGAGCCTTTGCCCCATCGCTAGTCCCCTAACCTGCTGGTAGTACTCCCCGACCATTTGAATGATAAAAATTCAAAGACAAACCTCAATTTTTCCATTGATCGATTCTTCCACCTAATGTGAGCTTAACCCATTGGCGACAGCGCACGTTTTGGATTTTTCGGCCGCGTGGGACATGAGCGTTTTGGCGGGCGCAGCCGGCTTGACGCGCATGCGCGTCAAGGTGTCCCACGAGGTGCACTTTTTGGAAGCCAAAGCTGAGAAGCAACTTCAAAAGCGTATTATGTTGCTGAATGAGAAGAGTAGTCGGCAGGGTGGTGCTCTGCCTGTCTGCTCCCTCTTAGCGATATAGAAACAGCTTCAAATCACTTGTATCGCGAAGACAGGAAACTGCCACCTAGAGGTCTAGAAGGCTGTAGGAAAGGGAGAATCGGGGATAGCAAGTAATTTTGCTTGCTATTAGTGAAATCTGGAATATGTGAATTTCCATTGCCTCGCTAAGACAAGACAGACAAGTCGTGCGCCACTTAATCACCTGGCCAATTGCAAACTCTCATAACATCAACGACGAGGAACATCTCGAAAGCAACACCTATAAAATGGCTGGAGTTGCAAACGCTTTCCAGCTGTACAAGGATGTGGTGAAGAATATCAGGCTTAATGACTTCAAACTAGGAGTCTCTGCTAAATCTGATTATGGCTACACTCCGAGTCATCACTGTCACTCCATGCGACATGTGTTGGAGGGGGTACCTAGAGGTCTAAAAGGAATTAACAGGATGAGATGTGTAGGGTGTTACGCAGCAATGTCCAAAGAGCAAGGATCTGCTAGTGCATCAAAAAGAACAAGAAGGGTCAGCCCACGTTGTAGTAGGTTTAGGAAATTATTTCGCATTGATTGTTTCAATAAAAAACACAAGTCTTGTCGCATGAAAACGTAATCTTTTGAAGTTATTGTGTCTTGTTACTAATTACTTATGATTAATTCTATGACTTATTTATGTGTTTNTCCTGAAAAAGAAGTCAAAGTTTAGTTTTGGGTGAGATTTTTAAAAGGTTTGGAAAATCTTTGCTGGAATAAACCATATTTGCTCCGATCATGGACCACGTTGTTTGTAGAAGTCTTAATGTTTTGTCTATCGAATAAACATAGAAAAACTCCAAAAAGTTGCGATCTCGCAAAGGAGTGGTGACAAAACGTTGACGCGCATGCGCGTCACTCGGTCCCTCGCGGTCTGCAAGGCTTGACGCGCATGCGCGTCAAGATGTCGTCAATGGGTTAAATATGCAATATTCTAAATGGAGAAGGGTAAAGTGGTAGTGTAAAAAAAAACCTGAACATAACGGAAAAAAGAGTATCGCATTCCTTGGCTGTTCTCCCTCTACTCTACCCCCACTCATCCAGCTGGTATTACTTGAGATGGCCGATTAAGATCGAGTTGAACAAAAAATTTGGTTAGAAGCTTGAATTCAAATGAAGAAAGATTCCAAACATTTACACACTTTGGATTGGCGAACAACCGCCTATAAAGGTATGTCCCTGCCATATACTCCATAATGCCCTGCTTGCTGGTGATGGTTCCGGCAGTGATTTCGGCATTCACGTGGTTAGCGATAACAGGAAGTAGACTGCAAACAAAAAATTGAGATGAAAACTTGCGTTACGCAACGCTACAATAACACCAGTACTACACCTAGATTCGACAGGAAACGGCTCATATAGGAAGCGCTTATAGAATGTCTTTTTTATGTCCTGCACATATATTACCGCTACTGCACTCGAATCAAACTGAGGTCTACCCGCACGGCCCATCATTTGTAGCACATCTGAAGTGATTATTATGTAGCCACCGAAAACAGACGGTTTTCAAAACTTACCGGTAACAGGGTAGTCCACATACTTAGACGTTTTGCCATCGTAATACTCTGTACCTTTCACAATTACTAGATGAGCTGGCATGTTGATACCCCAAGCTAGTGTGGCGGTTGCAATCAAAACTTGTATCTTTTTTTCCAGGAATAGCTTGAAATGAGTCATTTCAAGAGTTTCAGATGAAGCAGTCAATAAACATGGAAACGAATTGCCTACAAAAATGAGCTAACAAAACCACAAATATGCAGACTACTCATACCTGTTCCACTAACACTCTCTCGTGCGACGATAAGCCAGCATGATGCATACCTATTCCAAAGGGCAAAGTGAGCTTGAGATTTTCATCCTTCACATGTTGTAGAAGCACATCCAGCTTGAACTCCGAAGTGCATTAGAACTGATAAAGCGGTAACCAACGAATTCTTGCATACCTCAGCCATATCAACATGAAGCCACTGACGAGGATCACTCTCCGTCACCAGATGACTTATGAAAGCCATTGCTGTTAGTCGGGTCTGCCTCCTGGATGCCACAAAAACGAGTACAGGTTTCAACGGAGAATAAGTAATGATTGCTAGAAGACTTCTGATTAATAGTTAATAGTTGAAACGAAACCAACAGTAGGGTGCAATAACAACGTGAAAAATTGAAAGAAAAAATCCTTTTTTTCTCTCGGTTCTCATTCGTAAGACATTCACGAGAACAAAGATGGGGTGATAAACGGATGTACACATACTGTTATGACATCTTTTAAAAAACTCATTGAGTTATTGAAAGACGAAATCGCGTACAAACTTCTCCTCTTGACGAGAGACAGTCTGCGCGAAAAACCCCTAGTCTGTGCGAAGTAAGGTAGTTGGGCCTAACAAGGCGATCGTTACTATAATAGCATTACTCATGGGAATTTGATCGGTGACGGTACCCTACTACATACCTAACACGAAAAAACTACCATTGATCCGACTATGGAACTAAAATATTGACCAGAAAAAGCCCCAACGAATTCTCTATGAAGAACACTCACAGGATTGACTAGAACATCATCTGTTAAGCTAAACGGAGTATCATTTTGCAAAGCTAGTCTGATTGGTCGTACCTTTGAAAGCTGGTTTGTTCATAAGTGCCATTCTAGGGCAGTAATGTTGACCGGGAAAACCTTGAATGTGCACATCAACTGGAACGGGTCGAACAGATGGTCGGAAGTTGAAAAGGCCATCCTACAAAGTTTTCTACATACAGTAAATTCATTTCTAAGGACAGATGTCATTGAAACTATAACCAGCGGAAGTCTTTTCTCAGAAAAATACTAACATCTTTTATTCCCAACCACTCGGCGACGTCCCCGGCATTTGATAATGCTGTTGAAAGTCCTAGAAGTCGTGCCGGAGATTCTCGTACACAAGTCTTTCGAGTCAGAAGCTTCAACCTTCAAAGGAAAAGTAATTTAAGAACAAAAGCACAAGTAATCAGCGTAATCCTTACTACATATAAACCACAAATGTCCGTTTTTTTGTATGTTTGTATGTCTGTTTCACTGTAAGATAAGATATACGGCAACGTTTGGAAATCAAATGGAACAGCTCAGACAGGTTGGAACAAGTGGGGATTAGGGATGAACAAGTGGGAAATGAGCCGAACTCCTTGGACAAACGTGATCTAAGCCTGCTCCGCCCTTTAGGGACGGGGTATGCGCGAATAGTGTAGGTCACCGGAAATCTGCCACTCCTTTGCTCCTGAGCCTGGAGTATTCAGATTAGGCAGATATGTAGGTGGCAAGATGGGAAAACTAATGATGAGTGACAGGCGTAGACTCCGCCCACTGGGGGCAGGGCTTCCTCAAAAACAGTCAAATTGGACCTGCGTCGTTCAAATTTGGCAGAGGTGTAGGTGGCAAGGTGGGAAAACTAATGGTAGGTGACAGGTGCAGATCTCGCCTACGGGGGGGNGGGGGGGGGGCGGGGCTTCTTCAAAAACGGTCAATTTGGACCTGATTTGAATTCTTCAAGAAGGTTAAGTACATTGTCAGGGACCGCTTATGAGATTTGGTTCACTTTTTGCTTACGACCGCTACACAGCAAAGCATGCGATTCAATGAAGGATCACGGTTTCTCTCTGCTTTGATATCATCATGGCAAAACTTATCCGACCGCTAACAATATTGGATTCTTACTTAATGATGTATCGGTAGATAAAAGAGCTACATTCATAAAGATATTTGATAGTGGTATTATTACGACTTGACAATATTTGTGAGTACCATTCAAGGGTTTGTATGCCTACCAGTTAAGTCTTCAATGGGTCATTATTTTTAAAATCAACAGCGACAGATCGAGAAAGATATTTTTAACATCAGCAGCGACAGATCGAGACGACATCAAAGGCATAGGCATTGGCAGTGAATATCGTTGTTTCGCATTTTGTATATCGTTTGCATGCCCTACTGTTCCTCTATCGAACTTCGCCTTCCGAAAAGTATCATTCGTTCCAAAGAAGGAGTGTGTTGTTTGCCGTTCATCACGACTCTATCATAAGAAGGAGGGAAGCTTGGCGTTAGCCGGGCGATCTCACTGTCTCTATATATAAAGTGGTAACTTTGTGTGCCTGTTTGTGGGTCGATTTGCGCGTCTTTCCGAAATCACTTAGGCACTATGAAGAGTGTGAATGTCACGTGAGCGCGGTGAGGAAGCAGTCACGAAATGGGAAGTCAATCGATACTGTTCATATTGATCCTCTAACATGTCGTAGGTAAGCGGTAGTGGGCACGTGGTGCACACATTCGCATGCGTAGCCGAACTGGTTCATATAATAATCAGCGTGGCACATTCAGGAAGATAAACGATTTCGCAGCTTGCCCTTACACTTCAATCAACAATTAATTTGCACCCTTTGCTATCCAAATTTTTGTATTTTGTGCTCTGTCATCAGTCGCATATTTCGCTGTTTTACTTCGTAACGATGTTGTAATTGGACTCACGTCAGGACAGATGTTTGAAACTAATAATGGGTGCATACAGGGCGAGAATAGGAAAGTCCGAGATGCATATCATCACTGAACGTGGACTAGCCGGTAGGGGCATCGCTGTAGGGCGAAAAGCATCGCTTTTCTTTCTTTAGGCAACATTGCATTGCAAAAACCCTCACGGGGCCGCCAGGTTATGGTATTCGTGACTCATCACATCTAACATTTTCAAAGGTTGCCGCAGTCTGGTCAAGGAGTTCAGTCCACAGCGTCTCCGTCCGACCAGTCTACACGTTCAATGATCATGTTTCTCCTGCGCGCGGCCTTTAGGCCCATCGCCTTCCTTCAAATAATCCTTTACTCTATTGTTTGACAGAAATGACCTCTCAGCTCCACATATCTATCTTATAAATCTGTTATACACATCGGTGTTGCGCAGGAGCATGGGATCGAACCTGCAGAATCCTGCTGCTGCGCGATTCCGCACATGACTACTGAAGTACCAGTAACATTTTGACATTGGAAGCTGCTCAAAGCGAATTTTACAGTATCTAGATGTTGAGAATGATGGGAAATTTCGCCACAGTAGGAACCAAAATATTATAACATCTCAAATGAAATGGGAGGGTAAGCCTCGGTGGGCGTGGGCTCAATTAACTGTCCAAATCGCCGTATCTGTAGCCAGGATTTCAGATTATTTTGATTTATGTGGAACATCACTCAAATAAAAGAATTCTAGTTTGTGAGCGCCTCATAATCAACCTCCAAATCTTCGTTCCTGTCTCGCTCTGCTTGGCGTGGCTCATCCTGCTGAGCATCTCTACGTGCCCAATATTATGTATACAATATTTGCAAAGCAAGAAAAATTAATGGGGTAATTTCAGTGGTGGCTACCATACCTTGTGATGATCGCTTCCAATACGGCTCCTCGATCAACTCCAAGCAAATGGATCTCGTCAATAACGATTAGGCTTACTTTTCTCACATATTCCCGAGTTGCCCAGCTCCTGAAAATTTGCAAAGGGCATACTGGCTGAGAGCCCAACTCCTGAGAAATTTATTTAAGGCGCTCTTCTCTATGAACTTTCAGGTGTCATGCTATTAGTTGAACTCACCTTGTTATACCGTCCCATTTTTCTGGAGTTGTTATCATGATTGGAGCAGCATTCAGCGTACTGATGTCAGGCGTGTAATCACCAGATACTTCTACAACTCTGGAACGCGAATAGAAAAAAGTCAAAGCATGATACCGCTGTGCACTAAAAAAAATCTTCACCTAAATCCCATCTTCCTCTCGAACTTCTCCCTCCAATCCGAAACACGCTCTCTGACAAGAGCCTTCAGCGGAGCGATGTAGACACACTTAAAAGGGAGAAAGCATAAAAGGGTCTTTTTGTGTTCGAGAGTTTTCTAAGATGGAAGCCCTCTAAGATAGAAAAATTCATGCTAGGTGACGGCTACTAGAGAATTGTGGTTTCTATTAGGGATTGGTTTAGCATTTGGCAAGCGACGCAACATTCGCCGATTCCACTTTACTTGTGCCAGCCCATTTTAGCACATTCACTCTAGTCGTCCTGAGTATGAAATCATTTTCGACATCACAACGACGCGTGGGGACCACCGATAAGGGATAAAAGGATTTATAATTTCTGACGGGTCTTGTGTCAAAAGATAAACCTAAAATGATGAAAAACTTGTTTGGTGTATTGATGTAGCCTTGATCCAAGCCGTGAGTGTGCTAATGACGCTACGCGGTAAGGACTTCCCATCTACTTAACCCTTTGACGACAATGGCACCCACCGGTGGGTGCCACTATGACTGGCACATGAGGCATTGGCACCCAAATTTGGGAGCCTCCATACTTACTTGTTTCTTACCACTTGCTGCATTCAGTAAGCCAGTGAAAGAATTTCTCCTGGGACAGTGCCCCAGTGGGTGCCAGTCGCGTGCGAAAGGAGGGAGCGTGGTCCCATGGGCACGTCACGTCGAAATCCGCATTGCCGCTAAAGGGTTAATCACGACAGAAGAGTGCTCTTACTGGAAAACAGTCAAGTTGATGGAGAATCTTTGAGGTTAGGTGACCTAATGCAAACCAGTTGGGCTATGCACGCTAACGCACTGCAGTATATGTCGACGACCGCTTGTCTACGATGGAGTCGTGGATTATCAGAATAAGATAGTTCTCTCTAGATTCGAACGCTGAACTGCTGAGAGCATCACGCTCGATATCTTCCATTTGAGCAGGATTAATAGTGGTTCATCATAGCTCAGTCCACCTCAGTGCACACCCTTTTTATTAATCTTCACCACCCTTCCTTTAACTGCTCCTAACCACTTTCTTCGCAATCTAGAAAGTTTTTTAAGGGATGAGTTTATGGCCCTAGGCCCGCTTTCCTGTGCCAGCTCCGCCCACTTCGGGGATTTGACCACACTTGTTCCATTACCTCTTAGCACTTGTTCCCTGCGTTCTAGAACGTTTCTGTCGAGAATTTGACCACATTTGTTCTATTACCTTTACCCACTTTTTTCCCGCATTTTAGAAAGTTGCCGAACTTCTACACATTACAATTTCATAGAATAATTATATCGTAATGAGCGCAAGTAAAGGAGTAGAAGTTTGGTGAGTTTGTCTTCCAGCTGACGAGCGAAAGTAGCAACTCACGAAAAACTCGCTCCGCCCGTCGGGTCTGGAGTATGTGGCTGCTAAAAGGGTAATTAGTGGGACGAATTGTGGGATCGACAGTCTATCCTGACGTCCTTTGCCCATCAGCTTTTGTTGAGGGGTGCATAGTATAGAGACAGCAAAAACGGCTCACACTCAGGTGCACGAAGTGACCTACCGACATAACATTTCTGTGGATGCCTAACGCTATTAAAAAACAAACCTTTCTACCAGGGTAATTGAGCAATAATCGAAAAATTGCCAACTCAGCACAAAGCGTTTTTCCGGAACCTGTTGGAGCACCAATCAGAGCATTTTCGTCGGTATTATAGAGGCAGTGGAAAACCTTAAAGTGCCAAATAATGCCGACTTCCGCATGAAATGTAATTTGAAAATAAACGGGTACTGAGAACTACCTGAGTTTGAATTGGGTTGAAGTAAGCAAAATTGTATATAGATTCAAATGTTTTATTCCTTAAGGTATTCACTGGTAACGGATCGAGAGGTAACAGATCTGAAAAGCGTTTCTTTGTAAACGAAGTGCTGAAATTCTTCACGCAAGTTTGGTTAAATTGTAGCATAGTCATTTTCTTCAGAAAACATCGTTCTGCTTGAACGCATTTAAACTTGATTCGTACGGTATACAAGTTCCGGAGAAGTATATAAGTTCGGAGAAGGGAAGGGGTTGGCCAGATATAAGATGCGTTTCAGCATAGACTCTTACAAGAGAGGAATGTGCAGAAAGCAATCCCCTTTATTTGAATCATCACAGCTTCAAGTCACAGCTTCTCATTTTTGGAACACTAAAACGGATTGCAGTATTCCACACTACCGACAATGTCTTTCTGACCATGCGACACTTCTGACGCACTACGGTAATACTGCACTGTGGTAAATTACACAGTGAAACGTTTTCACCTCCAGACAGAGTTTGACTAACTACGGAATAGTTTTTTGTAAACAAAGAACAACGGTTCAGCATGATCAGCTGGCACCTCACCTGTATGAGCTTTGTATGATTTTGGAAGAATACAATTATGCATAGAAAGTGCCACGACAGTGTCGTTAACGACAAAGTAATCGCTGGCGACTCGAAGTTGAAAAACGTTGGTTAGTTGATGATCTCGAATAGGGATAGTAAATACCAAATTCTGCGGTTCACCGGTTCTCACCTGAATATGTCACAGGGAATAATATAATAATATTAAAAACTTTGTTACCTTCGTTTTGAGAACCACCCAACCTTTTTCTTATTAATTACAATTTTTTCATGATGGACGATGAGATTTTCGTCTATATTCTCCAGTGTCAGCCAGAAAGATTGAGCTCCAGTTCTCCCTAGGAAGCGATCATTCCAGACGAATGAAGGAGTCAGAGTGGCCGAAACTTGCATGATTGTGCTGGAATCATTTCGGGGAGGTTCGTGAAGTCAGCTCGAAAATCTATCAAGGCTTACTAAGTTATCGGTTTGAGTACAGCATCAACTTCGACACGTGGCAGCATTCGCATCGTCTTATGTAATTTCTCACCGTCGCAACTGAACATATGACCTGCATAGAGAAAAGTCAGCGGCTATGAACCGTAGAATGTTGTGGATGCGAGACCGATTTGCAACAAGTGGAGCAATAACAAACACATTACCTAACTCCTTTGCGGTTAGGTCCAAAAGCTGAGACTCTGTGAGTTTTCGTCGCTCGACCTTTTCAATGAGATCTACTCGAAGGAATTCGTCGAGTTGTCTAAGAACAACATATGAATAGGTTAAAGAGTATAAAAAATCTCATATATCAAATGGCAAAAACCTTTCAAATGCATTTTGGAAAAAATTAGTGGCGTTTGCAAAAAGCCGGCATGATGAAAAAACAAAGTTTTCAACAAACTTCGAGGTTTTATAACACTGCGAATTGTGAACGAGAACACAGCTACAAATTGTAATATTTGTCAAGTGAAATCTTCAGCAACGAACCAACACTTCCACAAAATCATCTCAATCAGAATTCGAAATATGTCTGAATTTCGGGAGCCTCTGAAACATCAGGCCCCCTTCACGTCAATAACGAGAGCTCTCATAATTCAAACTATCGATTATAATTAAATGAAGGTCACCGCTTGTCACAAGGAGTTCATGGAAAAGGGACAGGCCATAGTTGTTCATGAACGATTATAACAATTCAGTTCATGGCAACTGTAGCAAAGTTATTCAGAAAAGTGCTCACCTTAGGCTACTTTGGTTTGGCCAAATCCTTTTCTCAATGCATTTCGACATAGTCAAAAACGCGTTTGCCGCTTGAGCCCATCCCCTCCGCAGAACGATCTCGAATATTGCTCGACATAACCGGCCAGCATTCTGTTGGACATACAGCGACTCCGATGCCAACGAAAAACTACGGATGAACGACCGTGAAATGTGACTCTAAAATCAGAAAAATGAAAACTTTTACGTGAATCAAGAACCGGTTTGTTCGTTAATTGAAGAAGACAGGATTAGACCTCATTTTCGAAAAATCAATCTACCACGAACGATTTCAACGACAATTCCGCTATTAAGAAGGAAATATAGAAGGCAGAGGAGACCACAGGGTGGGCCTAAATTATGATGACACAGATATCGCTACCCCGAAAACGAGTAGAGAGCTTATGAAAAAGCAATCCAAAAAAGTGCTGATCAGTTATCTCTTATCTCTTTTACTTATAAAGCAGTGTGGTGTGTCGGTTTGTGTGTTCGTCGGTTTGTCGGTGTGCCTGTCTGTTCGTCCGTGAAACTTATGATTATGATAAAGGTAGTGATATGGAAAGCCCAGCTCTATTTCACATTTTCTCCTTATACATTAAACAGAAACTTGGCGAGAAGGTTAATGGAGTCGAGTAAGTACTGTGGAGTGAAGTGAGTCACGTGAAGTGGAGCTTTAAAACTGATTTCGATCTGTCCTGGCATCGTGCTATGCATGTCTATACAAAAAATCGGAGGTTTTGTAGTTGGGAGGCATCCGCTTTTTTGTCAACATTGAGCGCTACTGCGCAGATAAGTAAGTTAGCCCACAATTGTGTTCAGGAACGTTTCTTAGCCGAGAACGTCCACTTTTTCGACCTGAGCTCCGGGGGAAGGAGCACCGGGATGTTGGAGTCAATTGAATATTCAACCCATACTAAATCCTGGTTTCCTTCTTTCATCTTTATATATAAAGCAGTAAATTGCTTGGTAGGTTAATGGAGTGGAGCGAGTGCTGCGGAACGTAGTAAGTATGAAGTGAAGCGAGTACTTCGACAGACTTCGATCGAAGCTGGCAGGGTACATGTTTGCCTATACAGAATTTGGAATTTGGTTACCCCATTCACTGCTCATTCCATTCTCTACCCTTCTCATTTCAGCCTAACAACCCACGTTAAATTCCCTTCTCTCGTAATGCGAAGTGGAGACGATAATCTGACCCGATGTGTAGTGGATAATTCTCCTTGAACCAATTTAGCCCAACGTAGCGACACAACATATTGGTTCTGTTGCTACTGAACTCCCCTTCATCAAAACTGCCCCTTCCCCTCTAGCATTTTTGTAAAGAGAAGTATCATTCGCTAAGGATCTCAGGATCTCATTAATATCGTTAATCAGATCCTGAGATCTCCACTAGCACAGCGCCTTCTCTATAACTAACCAACTGAACAGTCAACCGAAAATTTTGAATGGTACTCATTATCGTTCTCAACTGTTGATAACACCACCATCAAAGGTCCGTGACACATCTCCTGATTTCCATATTCTGGTTGTTGGTTTTGTTGCAACTGACATCTGAATGAAGAGGAAACACGATACTTCAACGAGTTATGGACATCTCACTTTATATAACTCGCTAACTGTGTCTGTTTGTGGTCGGTATGTTCATATTTGTGTATGTGTGTGTGCGCACGTGTGTGTGTGTGTGCGGACCGGAAATTCAAAACTCTTGTTCCCGCCGACAAAGTGCGATCAAAGTTGGTAGATGTACAAGCAGCATGATGGGAACGCTTATGGCAAGTGGCAGGATCAAACCGCGCCCACAGGGGACGGGGCGTGCACGATTGAAATTTTCGACCGCAAATTCATAACTCTAAGTTTAAATGGATCTAGAGCGTTGAAACCTGTTAGGGTACAGGCCACAGGAGGGGAACACTTATGGCAAGTAGCAAGGCCAGACGCCGTCTATAGGGGCGGGGAGCGCGCGATATAGATTCTCGACTGGAAATTCATAACTCCTGTCCTCCTGCACCTATAACGTTCAAATTTGAATGGGAGGAGCAGGACAGGCGGTAGAATTTGATCACCGATGGCATGCAATAGGAAGTGATGACAGCTGATAGGGAGACTCATGTGGCGAGAGCCGCACGTTTCGTTACCTCCCTCATGTTGTTGGTGGAGCCGTGGCACATTGGAATGTGAGGCGGGATTAAAGGGGACCATAGACGTCTGTTAATAGGGACTGATAAGAACTGTTACGGAGCGACCATCCGATACATCTGATAAGGGCTGACGACGAGCCATAGAAGGCATGAGTCACTAGGTCTACAACGTCTTTCGTATTAACAGTGGAGGTTTGCACTTTAGTACGTGGTGTTGCGCGTGAAGAGCCCGTAGGTGACAAGGAGTGGTAACAACTGTTAGGCTCATAACGAAACAAAGGAGGCTCGGTGAGTAGAGCCTTTTGTATCAAGAAAGGAATTTCGGCATTTCAATAAGTGATGCGAGACGTGATGTAGATCGTAGCTAGTAAATGACAGGAGCTGATAAAAACTAATAAGAGATAAGGGATTTAAGAGAGCAAGAGCCACCCACCAATCCAAATTTCAACGTCTTCAATATTTACGATGTGGCTTTGACTGTTCAGTATGTTTCATTCGATAATGTGGGATAGTAGAGCAGAGTGACAAAACCGATCGCTAAGTGCAGTAATAGGGCCGATTAGAGGCACTACGATTAACAGACGACCTGAGATTGCGACCGCTACCCAGCACGGTTTGTGACTCAATGAAGACTCTTCGGTCGATTATCATTTGTGGCAAAACCTAGCCGACCGCCAGCAATCTGAGATTCTCAACTATCTCTGTGAAAAAGGAAGGTGTGTTGATAACGATATCTGATGATGGTGTTATCATCAACAGAAGCAGAAGCATTTGTTAGTACCGCCCAAGGCTTTGGTTATCTAACAGTTGAATTTTTAATGGTTAATTATTTCCAGNAGAGAGACAGCAAAAGATCGAGGCTTCTAATCAAAGACGTAGCATCGGCTCACCCTTAATACCATTTGCACTGCACTCTCAGTCCTGTGTCAAATTTCATGTACAGAAAAGTGTTTGTTTCAAAGAAGGAGTGGAGAGTTATTCGATTTCTACAATTTCGTCAAAGGACAGAAGGCGTTAGCCAGGCGAACCGACTGGTTAGTGTAGTGCATTTGAACTGAGATCTTCTGCCTTCTGCTTTCACTCTAGGCCGGAAAAGACCACAGAAGCAGCTGTGGTCGACGAGATGATCACGTCCATTGCATGGCATTTTCGAGATTATTTCGATTTTTTTTAACATGACGCATGCTTTTATTTCCAAGAACAACCACACTGAGAGCCCATGAGCAGAGCAGGGTTGCTAAACGGCCAGCGAGCGAAGGTTGTTGTCGGAGAATCCCTCGTACGAAATTCTGAACAATTTCTGACTTGCGGACAGGAGCTCCACCTCGACAATCGTCTCGACAATAGGTCCGGTTCGAACCACCGAAGTGTCGTACTGCGCAGGCCAGATTAATTGGGTCTCCGTATTACCTTGAGTCACTTGAACATCAAACATTTAGGTGTTTCCGCTTCGACGGTGATGCCCGCAAAAACCATTCAAGAATGTAGAAGTCTTTTACTTTTGGTTTTTTACTAGTTTATTTTACTCCCTTTTCATTCTGCTTCGTACAAATTCGCTGTTCTGCTACTGTCCACATTTTCACCGTGAACATCCTCTCGTTGGTGAACAGGAACTCCTTACAACAATTTCTTCTAAAACGGTGTAGGAGCTGGAGTGAGCCGTCCTTCTTCTTCTCTTTTGTCTTCTCAATCAGAAAATGACTGTCCAAACGTATAGGGCCCTTGTTGTGCAGAGAAATTCCTACAATTTCGCGCAAAAAAAAAGCTACAAAAAACATCCATTCCCTTAGCGATTTTGCTCGCAAGTGAACTTCACTGCTACACTGACCTTCAACCTGTTTTTCGAATACTCCTATTAATCGTAACCGAATCCTTTTATGCCGATCTGCATTCGTTTCCAATTCTCAGAAGTGTACCAGTTACACCTTTACATTGAGTCGTCTAGAGATATCTCGTGCCGAAAGCACTTGCATATGCAAAGTGATGACTGGTTAACGAGGTAGCAACGCTTGAATTATTTCTAAAATCTGCGAAAAGTTTAGTATTATCAGGAAAGAAAGCTTGTAATCTATCCTGAGAAATGCAAGATACCGAGAGAAATGTTTCAGTGAAAACCAAACCCATTCATTCGAACATGCACTTCAATCCCGAAAATGTGACGGTGTCATTCAGACAAAAAGGCCAAAAATTCTGGTCAGCAATTTCTGTTAATTTTCTAGCATGATGGCGTGATTCGGGTCACAAAAGAAGTTTCTGAGTGAAGTTCTCGTGAACCAGAACTCAAATTCGCAAAAAAAATGCTGGGAGTTGTAGAACTAGTCAAATAAATGGTAAACTAAAACACGCCAAACTGATCATTTAGGGATTTCAACTCCTTCAGAAAGATACTTTTCCGCCTCTCTTTCTTCCACAATCGAATAGATGCACGTCTGCTTCATAGTACTGCAATCATCTTCGAGCGATTCAGAGCATGAATAGGTTAACACAACTGCTCACCGCTTCAATGAAACTAACGACAGGTGTTGCCAGGATTATTTTCTGACAATTCATTCAATAAGTTACTTCAACGACACTATTTACCTGTAGCAGGACGTTTACTTTCCCAGCGACACTCGCCAAGCCTCCACCACGAAGCGGCAGTACACAACCGCAGCTTATTAATTCTTCAAGATCGAGACATTCATCTTCTCGTATCTGAGAAATGAAATTTGGAATATCTAGTGAAACGACCTTAGCGATCTGCTCAACCAAAAGTGGCAAATGATGCAATCGTTTTACCTTTAGTTGACTAAACTCTGTAGCCATTGATATAAGAGCAATTACCATGTCATCTGGCATGAAAGCACTCAGCGATACAGGTAGACCTGGCAAAGATTCAAGGCTGCACAGCGCAAAAAAGAAGTGATGTACAGTTTACCGGTTTCATTTAGCATTTCTATTGTTTCGTATTTGATGTAAAAGTTGGACGCTATTCTGCCAAGATCTGTAGCATGCATAAAAGCATTCCTGAAATGATCAGCATTTTCTCAAGCCTCTACCGAAGTCGATGATTGAAAGACGCACACACTGTCGAATCGAATCATCTGGTTTTGATCCAGCTTGACGGCAACTTCAGTAACCATACGTGTTAGATGGTTACGTAAATCGGGATCCTAAAAGGAGAAACAAATTATTTGGTAGACTATACTACAACGGTCCTTTTTTGACCACAGTGGACATTTGAAATGAGATGCAGTCATGGGTCTCCGAGAAGGTATCTATCTCGGCAATAGAATGTATAGAATGTTGACCACAGTCCCATATGGCTATTCAGCTACGCACATTCATTTTCAATTGCTTTCTAACACTAGATATGAAACACCCAGGGTGGCTCTACTGTCTAATGTATATAGAGTTAGGCGTACGTAAGAATTCGATCCCCTTACTAACGCGATAGTCTTCATCGCTTTCGAGAGGCTCTCTGTCTGTGCACCAAATTTCTCACAAGGGAATCTAATGTTGCCTCTAAAGTAACAGAACCACTCCAAGGAGTTTAGGCTCAGCCTCTAAGAACACTCCAAGGGCGATACTTTCCAACGGGGATTATGGCAATACCATTGTCACGTTTAACGCGCTCTCTATGCCGGTCTGTCTGCCTGTTTGTCTACTTGTATACGTATATGTGAACCTATGTGTATAAGCATATGTCCATATTAAGTTGGTGAAAATGTTTGAACTGGTTTCTCTTAAGTTCCGGACCTACTGATTTGCAATCGCTACCTGATCTGCCACGCGGCAGTTGTAGACTAGTCTTGAATCATTTCCAAAATAGTTAGATGTAGCCGGGTTGAATTCCCTAACCTCAATCACGATGTCAGCTCCACAGAAGCACTTCAAGCCATCATCTTCTATGAATGGAGGCGGGGCACTGGGGTACCATTCATAAAATCAGTAGCCCATTGGATGAAGACACCCGTCAGTACTGCTGGTTTGATCGCTTCGAAGGAGAGAACACGGGATACGAGTCCGAAGACAAACTCTAGTCGGGACGCCGTCGAGGAAGACTCGGCCATTCTCAACCTGTCAAAGAGGATTTTTAGGTTAGAACTGGTGATCTCGTACCGAGGTTCGGATTCACCCATCCAACAACGTATCTTCTCCGTTGGTTGCGAGATTCGCGGGGAATAACGTCTACGACTTGCTACTTTGTTATTCAGCTCCCGAACCAGACGCTGCTCGAGTAAAGGAGTTTCCGTCCATTACCTGCATAATAATGCTAGGCTCCATTCAATCGAAGAGACCTGTGAAGATTTAGGCGAGCTGGGATGGGATGCTGTTACCCACCCTTCCTATTCCCCTGACATTGCACCACTTGCCTATCACTTATTTGGCTCCCTCAAGGCCTTCCTAGTTAAGAAAGAACACGTAATGTAATGTACAGGGTGACCCACATGAAGAGTGACGCAGAAAACTAGCATCAAAGTTACACAGATCAAACCGAATAGGAAACTACTACTCCTACACAATCATCACTAAATTGTAAACAGCATATCACATCTCGCACAGAATGACCATTTTTCGCTTCAACGCAAATATCCAACCTCATTCGGATGTTTTCCAAAATGCGCGCAATCACTTACATCCCCCGCTTTTACAAGAGAACTTTCTTTTAAAGGTTCCTAAGGCATGTGTTTGAAAGCGCAGGCTTTTTGCTCCAGAATCGACTATACACCAAAAACCAAAGGATTGAGATCGGGGGAGTTGAAGGTCAAAGCTGTTTCGCTCCAAAAAACCCGGAAGCGTGGTTTCACAACATTGCAGCATCTTCTTTGCGCTGCGGGCTGGTGCTCAATCATGTGGAAGGTTCAGCTGACGTTCATCGCGCTCCTTTCCGCCCAAGCGATCACCGCTTCCTCCAGCCCAGAAGCCATAAGTTGATTTTTTTATTGCCCGTCACACTTCATGTGGGTCACCCTGTATGTACAGGTATGGTGTCCGATCCTTCTTTCTGCAGTACCCGACGGCTCTGCACATGCCCATATTGCGAAGGAAGTGCATGGCGGTTACTGATGTCGACCGACAAAGAACCAACGATGCTTACCTCTCCGAACAGAGTGCACCGTCATGCTAACATCGTAGGCATTAAGCCTCAATCATCAACGTTCGACTCAATCATAAAGGTTTGTAGCATGTACGGTCGCATTGCGGCCACGCTGTGGAATAGAAGTCACAAGCTCTTATAAAACAAGAAAGAAATCTTCAAAACCTGAGTAGGCGACGAACATGAGCATCACTATTCGAAATCTCGAGGAATGCTGTGACAGAAGTCGATGTGTCTGTTTCTACAACCAACGGGCGCTGATGGCATTTTCTTACACTATCAAGTGTGTTCAACTTCAACCAGTATGCTCACTTGGAAGCATGGGCGGATGACATGTGACCAAAATTTCAGAGAATGAAAAGCAGAGAATAAGCCTTCAAATAACGCCTGGAACACAGTTTCTCTAGATATTCCGAAGAGTGGTGCTGCTTTCATCGCTCACACAACTTTTGATGATTTCTTTCTTTTAATAAGAGCTTGTGACCTTTACTTCCACAGCGCCGCTTGGCCGCAATAAAGCGGTCCTTTCTACAAAGCTTGTTGGTTGAGTCGAAGATTGTTTGGTTTATTCCCTACGATGCTAGCGATCATTATCACCCTGTCCATGACGGGAGGTATGAAGATTTGTTGTCGATCGGCCTCAGCAACGGCATGTTCTCGCGCAATGTGGGCATCGCTCCACATGTAACAAGCATAGAAGCGCTTGAAAATGAGTTTCTTTCCGCCAGAATGCTCTGCGAATGCAGCATTGAACGAACGGAATGGATGTAATATTTCCGAAACTGACTGCATAGTTCATAAAATAGGGTGAACAAATGCGAAACTGATTGCGTGAATCTACATAACAGATTGAGAAAATTACGAAACCGTGGTAATATGCAGGATAGTTATTGGGAAAACTACGAAAAGTAAACTTGGCACAAATTTTTTTGATCGAAGTGTGCAGAGCCATCGATTACTGTAGAGAGAAGAGGGTGATACCATAGCTGTACTACATTACATTACGTGAATTTTTTTCAACTAGGAAGGTCTTAAGGGGGCCAAATAAGTGATAGTCAGGGAGTGCAGTGTCAGGTGAATAGGGGAGTAAGAAACCATTCCTCCAATTTTTCACAGGTCTTTTTGGCTGCATGGGGCCAGCATTATCGTATAGTAAGTGCACGATAACTCGTCTCGGCCATTCCTCTCGAATAACGTACGCAACTTGTGAAGCCGGATGGCGAAAATGTTACGAGTGATCTGTATCCCCAAGCTAACACGTACAACAACCTTCCTCGTGATTCCTAAGAGCAGCAGAGGAACACTGTGCCAGAACCGGATGCATCCAGAGCACGAGATTTTGCTTACGTTTGGTCGTTCGATCAAAAAGTGTCGAACATTGTCCACTGGTCATTTATGGCGAGCACTCATGGGCAGTACGATAGGCACGTGCTCATTTTCGTCACCACTGTTTGCAGTTTTTATAGCGGCTGGTTCACTTCACAGGAGCAGCAGTTTTTAAGGCATGCACAGTTGAACGGAAGGCTTGGATACTCGAGGGTAACAGGATATGGATGAAGGATTGAGGGACAATTGGAATAGTTATTCGTGTCAGTAGGTGTTCGAACTGCTTAGGAACACGCTCGTGTCGTTATCGTAATCCCAGGAGTTCTCGTGGTCGACCGAAGCACTGCATGCCGTTCAAAACCACGCTCTTCTATCACAGCTGTTTTCGGGATACACGCTAAAGAGGTAATGGTTTCTTTGCAAACGATGTCAGCCTGTTCACTTCTGAAAGGGCCATCGGACACATATTCGTGAGTGCTGTTTGCATTATTGGAATGGTGACTGGCATAAGGAACGCATGTATGCTTAGTCAATGGACCATGACCGGTGGAAGAATGAAACTAGGATTGCCTTCGGATAAATGGATACATTCCTAGCATTCGTTCAACAGAGTGACGATTTGATACCAGCAGTATTAGGAATCCCTAGATACTCAATGATGTGTTGAAGATTCATAGGGGCATAAAAATGTTGATTTGCGCTCAAACATTTCCGGAATGAAGACTTAGGAATACTACTATAAAAGGACAGAGGAATGGGCTCATCCATTAAATTGCTTCAGACCGCTTCGGCTTGATGGTAAATTCAGTAGAATACTCGCAAAATACTGCAGTAGCATAAAGGGCATAAAATGATAGCTGCACTAAAGCGGTGACCCAAAGAATGGATTGAGCGAATAAAACTCTAGAAGGCGACCTATTCATCGCATCATTTTTGATTAGCTGATCTAAATCATGAAGAGGCTTTGGCATTGATTTCGATAATGCAATTCTTTGTAGTCTGTGATCAAAAGTATCAATCTTCAATCCTTGCGGTATGGCTATCAATGCCTATTCTGCCATAAATAAGCTATTCCATGAAAAATGAATGCTGTTAAGGGTATCTGTGAAAACCAAATAAACTCTTATCAAGGGAAGGCGCTAAGTACGCCAACGCCACATTCATTCACATGCCGAAATTGATCGAAAGTCCGCTGTGCGGAGACTATCGTCAGGAAATGCACTATGGTACATCCACCTTCAAACAAGCTCATCTCATCTCACTACATCTCACACTAGCAGACCACATGACCTACGGTCCATTCTTTGTAAACAAGCAAAGCGTTGAGCTTACTTTGTCCAGAATCATGTGCGGAAGACCATATGCGATTGGATTCTGTGTTGCCCTGGTATAGTAATACGTGTAGGTTAGCCATTCCACTGCTTCAGCCACATTAGACACAGTACCTGAATCGAAAAGTAAATAGTGACGCGTCATAAAATACTTTTATTTTTCTTTGCACTTAAAACACGAAATTTCAAGAAGGTGAGAAAATTGCGATTTGTGAGAAAATTTCATGAAAAAAAAAAGAAGTCAAGGAAAGATTAGAACAAACACCGGCCGACGCCTTTGCCCCCGCT